AGAGAGAGAGAGAGAGAGAGAGAGAGAGAGAGAGAGAGAGAGAGAGAGAGAGAGAGAGAGAGAGAGAGAGAGAGAGAGCTCAGCAATTTGCAGGAATCTTCTGCATCAGCGTTGGCATCAAGCCAGATCACCCTGCCGTGTCTCCTTCTGTTCTCCTCTCTGTCTCTCCCAGTCCCCTTTCCGTCCTCTCTCTCTCTCTCTCTCTCTCTCTCTCTCTCTCTCTCTCTCTCTGTGTCAGTCTCTGTCCTCCAGTCCTCTTTCTTTCTCTCTCTCCCCCTTACTGAACATGTACGGTGCGACAATTATGTAATCTAACAACTTATAGAAGCGGAAATGCAAAAGAAAATCAAAAGAAAATCAAAAGAAAATCAAAAGAAAAGCAAAAAGAAAAGCAAAAAGAAAAGCAAAAAGAAAATCAAAAGAAAGGCCTTTCGAACCTATCAAGGAAATCAACAAGAGAGGAGACGAAAATCATTTTGAAATCGAATTACAGTATCGAGGAAATGGTGTCGTTTAAAATCGGAAAAGAAAAGAGAAAAAACGGAATTGATCTCATTATCCGTTTGAGATAAAGTTAGCCAGTTGGGATAAAGTGGAAAAAAGTGGTAGGGAGAGGGGAAAAAAAAATGTAGCGAAAAAGAAAGTGAAAAGAACATTACCGAAAAAGAAAGTGAAAAAAAAGGTAGTGGAAAAAAAAAAAATGTAGAGCCAACGAGCCCGTACTGCACCCAACAGCAGTTGACATAGAGACCCAAGTTCGGATCCACATGGTCCTCGCAGATGAGTGGAACCAGATGAACAGAACCAAAGACTAATTCTGAATTACATGGGGCCGGTCAGCTCAATGACGATATGTCAAGGCCGCCTTATTTAAGGAAAGAAGGAAGAAAAACACGATTAGAAAAAGGTAGTGAAGAAAAGAACAAGTGAAAAAAGGTAGTAAAGAAAAGAACGAGTAAAAAAATGTAGTGGGGAAAAAAAGGTAGTGAAGAAAAGAACGAGTAAAAAAAGGTAGTGAAGAAAAAATGTAGTGGGGAAAAAAAGGTAGTGAAGAAAAAATGTAGTGGGGAAAAAAAGGTAGTGAAGAAAAAATGTAGTGGGGAAAAAAAGAAAGGGTAGTAAAGTGAAGTGGCTTCTTTCGTCCAGCAGATGTGGACGATCCTGCCTACCTTCTTCCCTCAAACACAACGCACTGTTGTTATGATTGTATCGGGCTGGAAATATAGCTTGTATACATTCACGATGCGGTGCGTTGTGTTCGGGGGAGGATGGTAGGGACTGAGGGCACAGAGGGACTGCATGGAGCATGCCCCTGCTCGCGCTCCCATGTGGCTAACGGCTAGGAGAAAGGAGAAAATGGGGCTTTGAGGTGGCAGGTGGGCGCTATATTCTGCCCCTGAACATGACGCACCCTCATCACGGATTTTATACATCTTTCCGGTCAAATACAGTCATGATGAGGGTGCGTTGTGTTTGGATGAAGACGGTAGTCAGAATTGAGAGACAGGATGGTCCAGACAACTGTCGTGATGTAGGGTGGAGTTTGAGGTGGTCTGATGCGTGTACACATCCTTCTCCCACGTCCCCCGCCTCCTCCTCCTCTCCTCTCCTCCCTTTCCAATGAGATCTGTTTTTTTTTTTTTTTTTTCCTTTCCTTCATCCGATGAAATTTGTTGCTCAATCACTTCTCTCTCCCTTTTTTATTCCTCCCCCCCCTATTTGTCTTCTTTTCCACATCTTCTCTCTCCTCCTATCAGATCCCTCATCTGCCTGTCTCATTCTTCCTCTGCTTCTCCTTTTCCTCCTCCTCCTCCTCCTCCTCTTCCTCCTCTTCCTCCTCTTCCTCCTCTTCCTCCTCTTCCTCCTCTTCTCTCCTTCTCTCCTTCTCTCCTCTTCTCTCCTTCTCTCCTTCTCTCCTTCTCTCCTTCTCTCCTTTCTCCTGTTATGTCTACGGCTTTTCGTTTGATATAAGGTGATTGTGCACCTTGTGCCTTGTTCTCGTTGGTCTCACAACGACGGTAGGCCTGTCCGCCTCCCGTCTCTCTCTCTCTCTCTCTCTCTCTCTCTCTCTCTCTCTCTCTCTCTCTCTCTCTCTCTCTTCCTCGATCATCATTTCATCTTTCCTGTCCACGTCATTGTTACTCCCATTTTCAATGTCGTAACTACCCTTCTTTCCCCGAATAGAACGCACGGTCAATATAGCTGTATTTGGGGCATCTTTCAGTCTAAATACAGCTATAATGASCGTACGTTGTATTCGGGGGACGTAGTAGCTCGCAGCCTACTCTGCCCATTTGCCATAGCCATAGGTGTAGCGATAGCAGCCCCYCTCTGTCTCTGTCTCTGCATCTGTTTCTGTCTCTCTTTCTCTCTGCCTCTCTTTCACCCTGTCTGTATGTCTGTCTGTCTGACTGAGTTTGTTCGTCTGTCTGTCTGTCTGTCTGTCTGTCTGTCTTTTTCTCTGTGTCTGTCTATTTTTGTGTGCTCTCTGTGTCTGTCTTTCTGTCTCTCTTTCTCTGCCTGTTTGTCGGTTCTCTGTGTTTGCTTCTGTTTGTCTGTTCTCTCTGTGTCTATGTCCATCTGTCTGTCTTTCGCTGTGAGTCAAGCCGCCATAGCTATGGCTTGCTGATTACTCTCCCCGTTCTCCATAGCTGCCGTAGCCATAGCCATTGCAGAGCTATGGGCTTACCTGTGGCTGCTTGACGTCATCAGATGTGTGCACGTGGTAATCACGAAAGGGAAGGGATCTGCATGGAAATCGGGAATCACGCCAAGAGTGAAGAACTTACTTTGTGTGGCGCCCGTTTGTCTTGTGTGTGTGTGTGTGTGTGTGTGTGTGTGTGTGTGTGTGTGTGTGTGTGTGTGTGTGTGTGTGTGTGCTCTAAGTTTTCCCCACAACAGCCCCAATTCCACCCAGATGAGTAGATTAAGAATCAAAGCAGCTTTTGTCCTATTGCAGACCATGAGAGCACTTGTGTTGAGACAGTCCAACATTTAAGCACTTTTACAATTAGACAGTTTTTTGGTTGTCCTTGGGGTACGTACCCCTTCCATTTGTTCTTGCAGCTCAAATGGACAGGACATGTCAGGGTGCCGTACATGAGTGCAGTACTGTGCAATGTCTTTTACTGTGCAATGTCTTTTACTGTGCAATGTCTTTTACTGGGGCAATCCCTTTTACTGGGGCAATCCCTTTTACTGTGCAATGTATTTTACTGGGGCAATGTTACTGGGGCAATCCCTTTTACTGTGCCTCGCACGTACAAGGCTGCCCACCCACGTTGATTGTGGTTGAGCGGCACGTGCCCTTATCCCCCGTGTGCCTCAAACCACCAGTACATGCCTCACATCGGCCGCGGGGCCGTGTCAGAGGCCGAAAAGAGATGCCTGCCGCCGATCTCTTTTATAGACGGTGCCATCGCACCGACTTCTTCTTCAGATAGGCGACCAGTTTCTTTTCAGCAAGGCTGGGGCCGTGTACTGACGGTTTAACGGCCTACTAGCACGTTATGAAAGGAGGCAGAGTAAAGGGGAAGGCATACTCCTCTTCAAATCACTTGAGATCTTCAGCTTCTTATACTTGTTCTGTTCTCTTAATGATGCTCATTCCTATGTTATTTCCAAGTAGCACATAAGGGGAGGGTAAAGGGAAAGGGGTAAGAAGCGGAGTTCTGTAGGGGAGTAAAGGGGGCTGGGGAGGGAGAAAAAGGGTAGGGGAAGGAGTGGAGCGCAAAGGACAGGACAGAGATGTGATGAACTTCACAGGATTTTAAATGCTTATTGACAAGTTATTGCAAAAAAAAAAAAAAAAAAAAAAAAAAAAAAAAAAAAAAAACACCTTGTTGCCAGAGCAGACTACTCTAGAATGGCACATGAGGCCAGCCAATGTGTTTGGGTTGCACAACTTTTTTTTTTTTTTTTTTTTTAATTAATGCATAACATTTTGAGTTGAGCAGCAGCCATTGCCGATGGTAAGTTGCCACTGCTACAGACCGGACAGGACCGGTTGGGGTGTGGACTGTGGAAGTACCGCACCGCATCCAATTCTCGCAGTCGCATTTCGATCGAAAGGCTTGGTGTAGACAGGTGTCACAGGCTACGTGGCTCCTACGTGCGAGGAATCGATAGAATGGCTTGGTGTAGACAGATGTCACAGGC